ACAAGGTTTTAGATCTTAAAATCAGTATTTAAAAACTCATATTTTAAAAATAAATCGTGATTTTTGAGTTCATTTTTTTGAATAGGATACCAAATAGGCCCTAAATTTCCAAATTACGATAAATTTTAACTCAAACTAGCTTACAAAACCCGCTTTTCCTATTGTGTTGTTGATGTTTATGTTAGATTAAGTTTTACATATTCGGAAAAGTGCCCAAAAAGAAATCCAAACAGCTAACAATTCGAAAAAGGCACAAAGTACATCAATTGACCCTACTTTATTCAAACATTTATGAAGCAACATTAAGGAGTTCCTAATTGCTGGCCTAACTGAACTATGTGGCTTTCAAGTGGTAACATCATTATTAAGAGAAAAATTATCAATTCAGCTTTGGAAGAGTGCTGCAAATAGAAATTGATTCCAAGTATCCGGAACGCCGGTAAGACACCATCGGGTGCAATCCGTGCCGCGCGAACCTCCATACCCGTAGGCTGAAGGGTGACCACCTTTTCTTAATTGTGAAAGTGTTGTTATGTTAAGCAAATGAACTGGCTTTGACACTCTGTGCAGAACCCTTTCTAAAACAAGTTGTGATGGATGTGTGCCTCCTAGATATTGCGTCCCCAGCAACAGGGATGGACCCAGAAATCTTACCTCATAAGGTCATAGTGTAAAAGTTTGAAATTTTTTTTCGATCAAAATAACATTAGAAATGAAACGTTCATTCATAATTCACATTAAAAAAAAAAAACAACAACATTACAAGCTACAATTGTCCACGACGATGTTTCATATTTTGAAAACGTAGCATTATAGCTTCATTTTTAATACAAGCAAAAACATCATTTTCAACATGAACAAGCAAATTATCACTCAACTATTGATCTCCCATTTTGTTTCAAAGTAATAACTCACATCAATTAAAGAAAACACCAAATTTATACCAATTAACAACAAAAAATTCATAAATGAAACATCTAATAAATCAAAACAAAATAATAAAATAATAATTTCAATTCTATTAATTTAGGCTTAGAGTTAGAATTTACTTGAATTATAAGGTGGTGGATGTGGCGGCAACAATGGAGGAGATGAGGGTTAAGGGTAGAGTTCAGGACAAAAGAATTAGGCTTTTGGGAGTTGCTGGGTTGGGTGAAGGGGTTTTAGAATAGCTGGGGTTGTGTTTTTTTTTCGTTTTTTTAAAGAGCTGGACCAAAACAACGTTGTTTTGGCCAGGTCATTTAAAAAAAAATTTCTCTAGGCTAAAACAATGTCGTTTTGGCCAGTTCATTTAAAAAAAAACTCGCTGGGCCAAAACGACGTTTTTGCCTGTTTAAAAAAAAAAAAAAAAAAAAAAAAAAAAAAGAAAAAAGCGCAACGCTTCTTCTTCTTCCTCGTGCAACCATTTCGTTCAGGCCAAACAACAAGCAAGTGGAGGGCATCCATGGGGTAACACAGTCAGCTTAAGGGGACCTTCAAGCTTATTTCCATAAAGTCCATAGGGTCGTTTGACCCCATTGACCCCACTGTGGGTTTGTCCCTGCCCAACGGTGGCTGCGTTTGTCCCTTACAGTTCTCTGAGTTTGCATCACCCCATTCTCTTGGACTAGATGATCATTGGCACAAATAAAAAATGTCATGTTTGGGCAGAAAAAACAAAAAAGAAGTTTAAAAAGTTTGAAATTCCAAGTATGGGAATTTTAATTATATGATGACATTCTAACTCCTACCTTTGGCTAAATGTTGTGCTCAGTGAAGAGTCATTGGATATATATAAAATTTAGCTTTGGACATAAAAGAGTTTTCATTAGTAAAAGTCCAATTTTGATTTAGTGGTAATTCTCTTTCCAAAATTGAAAGAAGTCTTGAGTTTGAATCTCTGTCTAGATTATTAAAAGAAAAAGAAAAAAAAACTTTATGAAGAGAATGCTAGCTTTTCTTCAATCATGGGAAGTTGTAGATCAATATTTCCCTTATTATTTTAAGCAATTGTAATATTTAATTTAAAAAGAAAGATGTACACTATCACTTTTATTCCCATTCACTTTTTCTCTCTCTCCCACAATGTGTTTTGTCTCCTCTACTATATATATAGGGAGATTCTCCAATAAGTAATTAAGTTAAAGATTGGTTATTTTTAATATGCAAAATTAGTGAAACACCCAATCCTAGACATGAAATTATAAATATACCAAACACTATTTAAAACATAGAAACACACCCAAAATAAACCCAAAAATCAACAATTGTATATTTTTTGGGTGTATTTATAAATGGGTTTTGAGTGTTTAATAAATGGATTTTGGGTGTGTTTATAAAGTGTTTTTCATTTGGGGTTTTTTTTTTATAATTTCAGCCCATATTTTGGATGTATTAGTGAAACTCCCTTTTTAATATGCAACTTACATGCAATAAAACAGTCAAGATTAAAAATAGGGTTAAATGTTAAAATAGTCCCTGTGTTTTATCTTGTTGGCCAATTTAGTCCATGTGTTTTTAATTTGGCCAATTTGGTCCCTGTGTTTAGCACTGTTAGCCAATGTGGCCCATTATGTTAAAATTGCCGTTAAATTAACATAATAATTCTTTTTTTCTTCTTCTTCCTTTGAAAACCTAGAAATTTTGTTGAAATTAATTTAAAAACATATTAAAACTTCATTAGAACTAAAACATAGCATTAGAAAAAAGATTAAAAAAAACAGGATGGGCGGGGGGCTGCTCAGCAATGTGGTTGGGGGGAGTGGGGCGATGACTGCACGGTGAATATTCTACTGGGAGATGGTCAGGAGTTAGGGATTGTTCTTGAGAGAGAGAGAGAGAGAGAGAGAGAAGGGGAGGGGTGGGGTGGGTGACTGTGGCTTGGGGAGTTAGGGTTTTTGCATGTGGGTGAGTTGTTGCTGGGGAGAAAGGGTGTTGCTGAAATGGTGTTGTCCTTTGGTTTTTAATTGCTTTTAGATTTTAAATCTTATTTTCATTTCATAATTATTTATTTTATAGATTGAATTCAAATATTTAATTAAAAATTGAATTAATATAAATCTTAAAATATTTAATAAAAATAAGATAAAGTAAAAGCGGGTAGCGGGAATCGAACCCGCATCGTTAGCTTGGAAGGCTAGGGGTTATAGTCGACGTTGATTCATCATTTTTAACGTCTCTAATTCAAAACTGAACGTGAAACTTTGGTTTCATTCGGCTCCTTTATGTAAGATGGACAAATTCCCAGATTAAGACATGAACGAAATAAAAAAAAATAAAAATTCTTTTTTTATTAATATTTTAGCAAAAATTTAACGAATTGGATTACATTAACTAACAGTCCGAAACACAGGGACCAAATTAGCCAAATTGAAAACACATGGACTAAATTGACCAACGGGCTAAAACACAGGGACCATTTTAGCATTTAAGCCTTAAAAATATATAACCAATTCTTGACATAAAATATTTATTAAATAATGTCCCATATATATATATATATATATATATATATATATAACTACCTATCAACATGTATAACTTGTATATAATATGCTTTTAGTATATTTTTATAAAAAAAAAGGGAATTAAAGCAAGATATAAGAAAGAGAACATACATGAAAGAGCTGAGGATGAGAGTGCAAAACTATATCGGATTATTTTAAAAATACAAGCTAAACCCCATCTAAAACAGTTTTCAGTTAAATTCCATCTATTCTACTTTTTTTTTCCCTTCATATTTCTCATCTTAATATTCTTTTATTTATCTTTATGGAGCTGCTAGCTAGCTAGTGACCCAATCTTTTATATTTTCTTTCATAAAATAAAATAAAATAAAAGCAATAAACAAAAAATATAAAATTTGTCAAACGGGCTCTTGATTTTATCCCTAGATTAGTGCATAGGAAGCCCGACCCAATTACTTACTTCATATGATCTGGAGAAACACCCTGGAAGAAGACTTGAGTTTTACTAGAATCCACATTGAAGTCCACCCATGTAGCCCATGTCCTCAAAGCACTCTTATAGGCCACCATGCGATCCATGTCTTTGTATGTTCTTCCTCTATGACGTACAAAATCCCACCTGCATTGCCACCAAAACATGTCCATGCATATGACATTTTAGACTTGAAATTATTTAGTTTTCTTTAGCAACTTCATGAAGTATGTAACTATGTATATGTAATCTAACGTACGGTTGTTTCCTTCTTGTATGAAGCCACCAATGCCATGTATCGAAGACCAAGACATCAAACGTTCTCCAAAAACTTCCATTTTAAATCGAATCAAGCACAAGACCACGCCCAATTTTCTCACGCACAATATCTACTAATAAGGCATTGCGGGAGAGCATGATTGAATCATCAAATTCCTACAAGTTTCCTTGAGGAAATGAGTTAGGATTAAGATAGGTGATTGGTCTGATTCCATTTAATTAATGTACAAAAACAAAAACAAGAGGGAAGACTTACAGGAAACTTGAGAATGGAGAGGCCTCCAGTCCTGATAAAGTTGTACTTGGCTTGTGGTGCTGACTTGTAAATCAAGCATGCGAGGGACTGCCATTGATTCAAAGCTCCGTGAGTTCCCCACAAACAAGATGCGCTTCCCCCCAAATCTTCTTAAAAAGCCTCTACCACTGATCCTACACATATACATTTATAAACATTGGCAAATTTAGCCTTGTGAAACGTATTTATAAATCGTTAATGTTTCATATGTTAAACTCGGTAATAACTTTCACCGCATTAATTCAATTTATAAAATTTATGTTATGTTAACGGAAATATGTATTAATGTCGAATACAGTACAACACAATTTGCAAGATGACTTCGTAGACGATGAATAAACGACACAGGAGTTATATACTTTGGTATCTGGCATGAAGTGGGCTGCCATCTGTAATTAAGATAGTCATTGTCCGGTCTTCCATTGTTTTGGCAATTAAACTCCTTCCCTATGAAGGGACATGTTGTTGACTTGTAGAGAGGATTAGACCTATCATAAACCCATCTCCCATGGAAAAGGTCACAGCTGCCACTGTTTACTACATTGTTGCTTGGCCTAATATTATGGCTAAAAGGAACCTTGGATTTGGTGCAAAAGACAGAATATCAATGCTGCAGCAGTTACACAAGAACAACCCATGTGTTAGAAAGAGCGATGGATTGTTACTTCTTAGTTGGAATTGAACAAACACTATGAGAGAATAGTTGTTTGTAGAATTTTCTGTGTATTCCTTTTCTTGTAGGATGTCATATTTATAATACAATGGGGCCTTATTGGACAAGTAATTAATAAATTCCTTATTTTATTTATAGTAGAAAATAAAAATTAAAGTAAATCAATTACAATTATAATAGGAATCTTTGGTGTGTAAGGAAGGTAACATGTTTACGTATCAGTGATGGAGAAACTAAGGAATCAAAGAATTTAGGAATCGGAGAACTACTGAATCGGTATGGGAAGAATCATTCTCATTAAGCTGTTTACTAAACATATGAAATTAGCAATGGAATGGGATTGATTCCCATTGTTATTGTTTACTAATTTGCATAAATCAGAATCCAAATTAATTTTAGAATTATGGTAAAGTGATAAGGGTATTTTTGGAAGTTATTAAAAGAAAACAGGAATAGGAATCGTATTGACTACTCCCCCTAGTTGATTTGATTCATAGTTTTGAGGGAATGTGATTACGGATTTTGAGATGAGGCCCACTTATTTTTTCATTCCTGATTGCAAGTAAACGCAGGAGAAGTCAGGAATGAAAATCATTCCCTTTCCTTCCATACCCATTACTGATACGTAAACATGTTAGGGTTTAGGGTTTAGATAGTGGAACATGCGTGTCTCTAATACCCTAACTTAATTTGCCTTTTACTCTTACTTAATTGCTTTCTTAGTTGTTTTATTAAGGGCTTGGAATTAAAAATAATCAAATGAAACTCACATCAGCATATAGCGTTTGTTTTTCCTTCTTAAAACATTAATTAATAAATGTATTAAGGCAAAAAGTCACTTTTGGTCCTTATAATTTGGCATTTTTACCATTTTGGTCCTTGTCGTTTCAATTTAGTCAATTTTGTCTTTGTGGTTTCAATTTGAAGCAATTAAGGACAATCCCCAATTCCTGTCAAATTTTTTTAACTTCTGTTAGTTGTGGAGGGGTAATTCCATCAAAAAAATTATTTCATTTTAAAATAAATATTAAAGACAAATAAATAAATAAAAATCTTCAAATTGAAAAAAATAACGACAAACCCAGTCAAAGCCAATTCCACCCCATTGCAACCTCCCCACACACCAAAAATTTAAAACAAAAATAATAATAACAAGAACAAATATATCTTAAAGAATAAAATAACAAAAAATTCAAAAAAATAAAAACTAGCTGAAACTTCCTTGCAACTACTTGATGCTATGGTTCATGTCAGAAATTTCACAACATACAATAGAAATTTAACTCATAAAAGAGAACATTATCTCATTAGGTCATCACGACTTAGTATCGTATTATTTTCATGATTTATATCCTTTGTCATTACTTATCAAAAACTTCAATCTTTAGAAATCAATTTCAAGGTCCCTAGTCATTATTTCCTTGGACCCAGAAAAGAGGGATGTAGAGAAAAGTTTTCAAGGAGCCAATCTAACCCTCTTGGCACCCCAATTCCATTTCGGAAACATAGCGGTTTTCCACGATCCCATCACCCTTGACAACAATCTGCACTCCAAGCCTGTTGGCATGGCACAAGGGATCTACATATATGACACAAAGAACACATTCACTGCTTGGCTTGGCTTCTCATTTTCTCTGAACAGCACAGACTACCAAGGCAGCATAAATTTCATTGGGGCCGATCCCATTTTGATTAAAACTAGGGACATATCTGTGGTGGGTGGCATCGGAGACTTTTTCATGCACCGGGGAATCGCAGCCATCAACACCGATGCATATGAAGGTGAAGAATACTTCATGCTCAAGGTGGATATCAAGTTTTATGAGTGTTGGTAAATTTGAGGTAGTTACATTAAGTATAAGGGGTTTTGATATGTGCGAACTGAGAATGCTGTTCAAATATGTTCTGTTTCATGGAGTGCTTATAATTTTAGAGTTTGCTAAGCATGAGCTTAGTCCATGAACAAGTATATGATCGAACAGTCACCCTTGTATTTCTGAATCCTTTTTCCTCATATATATTGATAGCTCTGTTTGACAAAGAAGCTGCATTCTGATTTGCATGGATTTTATTTTACTTTTGATGTAAGAAAACAGAAGTTACTAAAATCTTATAAGACTAGAAGTTCAAGCATAGAGGTGATTTAATTAATTAGCACCTAATTGTGATCAATGGACGATTAAAAACAGAAGAGAAAAATTAAACGACTCCCAGAATTTGGGATAGGGGATGTACTTGAAACATTTAGCCTGTCATTGGGATTTTTCAGGCTTTTCTTTCATTCCAAGCGTCTAAATCATATGAGAAGTAAAAACAATCACATCAATCTGGTTTTTTCTCGACAAAATCACATCAATATGTTGAAAAGCAGATTGTGAATATGAAGTAGCTTGGAGGCAACTTGAGGACTTATTAGTCAAAGGGATTGGTGAGGGAAAGCATGAGGTGGACTTGGACTGTCTCAGCCTCTCCTTGTGCCCAAATCAATATCCACAGCCAATTGATCATCTCTTCATTCACTGCAAGGTTGCATATCAAGTGTATGGATTTCTTAGGCAACTCAGACTTTCTCTTTAAAATTTGAACTTTGGCTACCTACAGTACTTGTTAAAAATCTGGTCCAACATATGTACATTGTAAATGACTTTACCCATCCAAAAAAGAGAGTAAATGACTTTGCCTAAGCCTATTTACATCCATGAGGGAACAACTGCATGAAAACTGGTAGAATAGTAACATTCAACCAAGGGGGTAAAGAAACCAGAGGGCTTCGATTATACATGTTTTTTTTCTGCAATTGTTAGGAATAAAAAAGAAATTATATATATTATTATTAAGAGGGTCAATATACTGATACATAGAAAACTAGATATAACACACCAAGAAGAGATCAATAAGTATAATATTCTTACCCAATCAGCAATTGATCAGATAATACGACCATAAAGAATGATCTTTGGGACATGAGCTATCTTGGACCAATCCTCACCTTCTTCCCTTCTGCATCTTTCAGCTAAAGGGTCGCTGCTAATCTCCAACTCTCTCAGTGCAGTGAGGCGGTGCATGCCCTCGGGAAAAGAAACTAAATCCGGACAGTCTATAATCTTTAGTTTTGGGAGCATGGTGAAGTTTTGGAACCCGTCCGGTAACTGGAGAAAGGTATTGTCCAAGCATAACCCTTCTAGAGTGTCTGCAGACTCTTGCAGCCAATGGGGTAAGGCCTTCAAACTCGAATTTTCAATCCCAAAAAATCTAAGACCTCGAATGCCTTCTCCTGACCCCATCAGATCTAGCTTTGGGCAATCACTGATATCCAAAGTTTCCAATGTGGTCATGTTACAAGATGGTAAGGACTCCAAGTTTTGACATTCCGAAATGACCAGCGTTCGAAGGTTAGTGAGGGATCCCATCCCTTCACCCAAAGATATAAGATTGTTGCACGAAATCACAAATAAAGTTCGAAGTCCAAATACTTTTGGCAAATGCGTCTGGTTTATGGTTAAGACCAAGTACCTGAGGCTGATTAGGTTTCCTATGTCTTTTGGCAATTCCTGGAGTTTTTCACAATATGCAAGCACCAAGGATTGCAAATGATGCAGCTTGCAAATAGAATCAGGAAGCTTACTTATATGCCGATTAAACGACAAGTCAAGATATCTCAGGTGTCTCAAGTTGCCGATGGAACTTGGCAGCACCTTAATAATCAAGTGACTAAGATTTAGCACCCATAGTAAGTTGAGCCTTGAGATGCATCTCTGTAAAAAAGATATATTGTTGACCCCAACTTCTGTAGGAACATATGCACTGTCCAAATCTGGAATTATAATGGTTCTCAATTTCTCAAAACCGAGTAAGAATTCTGGGTCTTCTTCCTTTTTGTTGGACAAGTCCTTCTGAGATATTGACATATGTCGAACCATCTTAGAAGAATAAGAGGGAAGAAAATTTAGAGACGAGTATTCTACCTGTGCCATTGAGATTGCTAAATCATGAACTAGATTGTGTATTTTAAGTACTATAAAAGTGGAATCCTATTCCACGATCTGGAAGAAATACCTAGAACATAGTTGCCTTATGTAGCGCTGACCAATATCTTCAAGCTCTTGGTTTCCATGTTCTTGGGAGGATCGAACAAAGCCTTGAGCCATCCACAACGGAATCAAGTCTTCGCTTCTAAATATGTAATCCTTCGGAAAAAGTGAACAAAAAGCAAAACAAGGTTTCAAGTAGACCGGCAACGCATCATAGCTTAACTTGAGTGCAGGTAAAATGCTCTTGCTTTCCTGTTCCAATTTCCATATGTCAGTGTCTCTAACATGTGACCAATAACGCTCATCCTTGTTCGGTTTGAGTAGGCCCCCTATGGTGTACAAGGCAAGAGGAACCCCTCCACACTTCTTCACAATATCTTCCCCTATTTCCACCAACTTGGGATGGTTTCCCTCCTCTTCTCTTTTTGTGAATGCCAATTTTTTTAAATATAGTCATACAATCTAAGTGGGGAAGACATTTCAACAGATGCACGTGTGCAGGATTCATAAGCAAAGAAACCGATTCGTTTCGTGTTGTTACAATGACTTTACTCCCATTGGCTGCAAACTTTAGGAAAACTTGAAATCAATCCATTTTTCAAACGTAATTCCCATTGGCTTTTTGTCCCAAACATCATCCAACACCAATAAAAGTTTCTTGTTTTTCAAAGAGTGCTGGAGCTTCATTGACATCTCTTCAATGCTTTCATCCTCACATGTTTCTTTAGTTGCAGCCGTGACAATTTCTAGGAGCAATCTTTTATTGTCAAAATCATTTGAGACACAAATCCAAATTCTCAAATTAAAATTTGCTACTACCCTATCATCATTGTACACTAATTTAGCGAGCGTGGTCTTTCCCAAGCCTCCTAATCCATTAATGGAAATAATGGATACATTCTCCTCCTCATCATCACCTTCACCAGTGTAAGTGTCCTTAAGAAGATGGTTGAGCATCTCTTTTTTATTGTTATCTCTCCCAATCACATCTGTGGAGTCCACGAAAGAGCTGGTCTTCCTCTCCGTGTGCATGCCATGCAAATCTGCAGCTCGTTCGGACAGATTGAACTGAGGTTTTGGGCTGCAATCTCACCCAACCTTTTTCTCATATTTTTGATTCTGTGACCCATTTTATAGCTTGACATGACAGAATTTGCAATTGAAAACAAGTTGTGTACCTTTTCTTTCATGCTACCTTTAGGTTTGAGCACTTGCATCCTCAAGTTCTTGTATTCGTATTCGTCTAGAACATCATCCATGTCATAGCAAACATCTTGGAGCTTTCTGAAACAGTCAGCGAGCAGGAGGGGATTCGCCATATGGTTTTCCTCTGCATACTGGAGCACCTTTGTGATGGTTAATAAGGTTTCATGGAACTTGTTTAGCTCGCCTTTGACATCTTTCGACCAGTGAATTTCTTTGTGCGCACGGGAAGCAAGCCTTTCCAGCACTTTCGTTGCAATGTTACAGGAAAACGACTCCATAGCGATTCAGGATCAGGATGAAACAGAGTTTGAGTTCTAGGGCAATAGAATAGAAGTTGGAACCAAGATAACTGAGTTCTTCTAGGGCAAAGAAACTCTATAATATGTAACTTCTGAATTAGATTGATAAAAGACGCCTTCTCACAACTCTTAACTAGCTAGGCTTATATAGCCATCAAACCCTATAATAAAAGGGAAACCTAATTGACAAGGGAAAAGTAAACTAATCTTAGTAAAGATAGGAAAATCATAATTTAAATTAGAATTTTCAGCCATTTTATCCCCTGAAATATGATCCTAATCGAACTTAACTCATTGAATTAAAAAGTTAGTCAATTTAGCACTTGAATGTATTAAAACAGTCAATTTAACTCTCACCGTTAAATTTTTCTAATTCCATCTATTTTCCATCTAAAAAGCACATGACTTAATGTTTTGATTTTTACAAAAATCTTCAAATTGAAAAAAATAACGACAAACCCAGTCAAAGCCAATTCATCCCCATTGCAACCTCCCCACACACCAAAAATTTAAAACAAAAAAATAATAACAAGAACAAATATATCTTAAAGAATAAAATAACAAAAAATTCAAAAAAAACAAAAAACAAAAAACTAGAACAAGAACAGTCGAACCAAAGACCAAAGAGAAATTTTTATATGTGCCATGCAGTAAGTTAGACAATAATTCCACATGTCCTATGTTTATTAGATGGTACACCAGTCACATGGTGTACCCGGAACACCAAAAAATTACTCCCAACGAAACCCAAAAAAAGCCACCCCCATCTCATCTTCCCCAACCCTAGCTCATCCCAACCTCCCCTCCCCCATACCCACCTCTGATGCTCAGCGACAGTGGAAACCCGTGCACCCTGTCCCACCCGATGACTGCCACAGCGACTGCGACTCCTGATCCTCTGTCGTTGACGACGACGATGATTGCGTCATGACGTCGTCTTTTCGGAGAGTCTCTCCTTTGCCGTTCAATCTCAACCTGTTGCCGCCCCAGATGATGGACGACCTCGATTTATTCAAATTCGGTGAGGTTTGTGGTGATGATCATTCAATCCACCGCTTTACGCCTCTAATTACCGTATGGATCTCAATAATGCTTTGCCTTTTTCCTTTTTTTCTCCCCTTTTTTCTCTAGAGATTATTAAAAAAAAAAAAAAAAAAAAAAAAAAAAAAAAAAAACAAATGGTACTTGGTGGTGTAGAATTTGAGTTTTTTCTTTTTTGTTTCTTCTTGTTTTGTTTTAATTCTACCTTGTTAGAATATTATGGTGTAGAAATAGCATCTGGGTTTTCATCTTCAACTTGATAGGTTTTGGAGGAATATTCTCTGTATTGTGGAAGGTAATATTAGATCTTGTTTACCCAACACTAGATCTAATATGGGTTTTTGCTCTCTTGATCGGAATTGGGTTTGGCTGGGTTTGTTAAATTTTTTTCAATTTGAAGATTTTTATTTATTTATTTGTGTTTAATAACAAATTACCCCTCCACAACTAAAATTTGACAGAAATTAAGGATTGTCCTTGAATTGCTTCAAATTGGAACCATAGGGACAAAATTGACTAAATTAAAACAACAAGAATCAAAGTGATAAAAATGCCAAACTACAGGGACCAAAAAGTGACTTTTTGCCTATGAAAACAATTTCAACTGCATCGTGAATAGTTTTTATATTCATTCATCCTATAGTTTTGAGTCACGCTACAGGTACTACATTTACAAAACCAACTTAATTTGCATGTTTAATTAATATTATGAAATGAATCACGCTAGAAATACTAAAGTTACACATCAAATTTGAGTCCTAAATGAAGTGTCAAACAAAATAAACGAGAAGTTTCTTAAATGTGTTCTTCTCCAACATGGCTACTTTTATAATGATGAACAAGATGTGTTATAACCCTAAAAAGGATAAACAATAAATAAATAAAACCTAAGTGTTGAGTAAGCACATTAAGAGGAATCTAATAATCAAGAACACGATCACTAGCAACACAATTAATAAAATAGGTAATAAGTAAGCAGTGGCAGATTCCGGAATTTTTTAAGGATGGGGAAATATTTAAAAAACTAAAAACTCAACAGCAACAAAAACCAAACACCTTTATAGTTTAAACAATACTAATGTCATTCATAGTAAATTCAACTTTTAAAAAATTTCAAAAATCAAATAATTATACATAAACAAAATACACAATTATATATTCATATGCAAAGTTCTAGGATTGCTTGGGTTTGGAGAGTCCCCTATTTGTTTAACTTTTAATTTGAGTGCCGAAATCCAGTATGTGTTGGCTTAATTTCTTATGTGTCAGTGCCCAAATTATACATGATTAAAATTAAGACAAACGAAAGATATTATTTTCAAGATAAAGAGTATTTGTAAAAATAAAATAAAAAAATCAGAAGAACCTTTTTTTAATGGTTGAAAGACTCTTATCATATGTGTACCCAGATGTTGAAGACTCTTATCAAAAGCTTATCTTTCTGTAAAATATCCCATTAATTAATTATTAATAATTCTAAAAGCAAACCAAATCAATTAAATCTAGTGATTCTCGTCAAATAGAATACACAGCGAAGAAGACAAGAGTATGTAAGAGGAAAGCTGTCACGCCCCGGACCTAGGGGTCGGTGAAAACCCCGTGTCCGGTGCGTGAGAAAATAAAATGTAAAACAAAATAAAAAGAAGATGAAACATGGGTTTGAAATAAACTTCTCTTATAAAAATAGATCCAAAATCTTACAACTTTACAATAAATAAAACTCTATCACTCTCATCTAATTCAGCCTCAACTGGTTTATTCATTTTCTTGCCCACTAATTCATCTGAAAAATTAAACAGGGTGAGGGGTGAGCAACCATAGCTCAGTAGGGACATGAGACCTTACAACAGTAGATTGATATAACTAAATTAAGTGACATGCAATCACACAACCAAAATATCACATTATTAATAATAATGCATGAATGAATGCTCTTCATCTATTTCCGTTAATTCATATAACTGGACAAGCAGACCTGCACGTCCCATACTATGCTTATACCACTTGGTCCCGAATGCCCATTTATATGCACTAACACCCATTTCAATAATCTCATAATTCCCCTTTTGTTAGTCATCTTGTCTAACTCCCTTTCGCCAGTCCCGAATCACCCAATAAAAACCATGTGCATTGTGGGATCCCTGAGACCTGGTACCTGCCAAGAGTTAGACTCAACTACACAAAAGACTATTTCCATTACCCTCTTTTCCATCATTATTTTCTCAATACAACAACTCCAACCAATTACCATGACATGATATAATTATGCCGACATTATTCAAATAGTTCACAATACGTAAATATCCTATATCAAGAACATTATACAATATCACACATAATAGAGCTCACGAAATTTAATTAGATCAATCCCTGTAAAGGCCCCCAAGAAACCCCTACCTCGTTTCCAAAGCTAGCTCCAAGTTAAGAAAACACAAGCTCCGACCACAAACTCCTCCAAGAATATTATAACCACTTTCTCTCTTTTTTTTTTTTTTTTTTTTTTTTTTTTTGTTGTGCAACTCACGTCCTATATATAAGGAAATAAGTTGGCAGTAAAACACTTTCTATTGGATGGTGTAATGGCGGTTGATTTGTACTTCCTAACCAAGTAATATATAGCAGATAAGGAAGAATGTCTTTGTGACTCTTCCAACTCCTCCAATCATATCCTTTTCTCTTTGGTGAGTTGGCTAACCTTGCTACTTAACATGGTTTTCACTTTGACATGTACAAGGACTATTAATAAGGTCTATGAATTGACAAAACTAACTAACAAGGTCTATTAATACATATCCACACACACACACACACACATATATATATATAATGGAATAAGATATTTAGGTAATACACACACATATATATTAAGATATATGTATATATATATATTAGAATAATATATGTAATAAGATATAAATATATAAGTATTATTATAATAATATTCATAATAATTAATATAAAAGTATAACAACAATATTTACATATACGTACCAAGATAATTACACATCCTAATATATATATATATATATATATTTTAAAATACGGGTCTTCACAAAAGCGCATTATGAGCCACAGAAAATCTGAAGACCTCTCAATCCAAAATTCCAATTCCCAATTACATTTGAATGACGGTAAGGCTTAAGGGATGGTAAAGCTTATCTCGGCTATACGCATGTTTATTATTTATTTTTTATTAGGTTATGGACCAAAACGACGTTGTTTTGGCCATGACTTAAATACATGCACAACCTGCGCGCATCGCTAGAAAGATAGAAAAGCCTCTTTGAGGCATTTCGTCAAACACCTGATGGGCACAAGCAAATGGGAAACTTCTGGCATCTCTAAAGCTTTTTCCTGCAGGGGGAGATGCAGTTGCACCTCCTTGCACCTTTGTGGGTTTGCCACTGTAGGTAAGACATCATGACCCCAAAAATAATGTGGAATTGATATGTTTAAGGACCAAGGAATGAAACATGTCAATGAAATGATGGTTCTTGCATTTAACCACCCCATTTTGTTGCCAAGTAGATGGGGGTAGAGGTGTAATGAATTATGCTTTATTCCCGGAAAAATTGAGCCAAATTGTAATTCACATATTCACATACATTGTTGGAGCGAAAGAGCTTGATCAACACATTGAATTGAGTTGATATCATTGAAGGAAACATGCATCTCATGACTTTAAAATAAATTTTAGCCACAACATATACATAAAAAATATTCATAATGACGGAATCATTTTGTTTAATCGTGTTGAGCTAAGCCTATTTCATTTACCCTATGGATCTTTGGATCTAATTTCTTTGTGCACAAAAGAAAAAGGGAAGAAAGGTTTAGTGTTTACCTTTGTAGCCCTTTCTTGGAAAACCAAGAAAGATCACCTCGTTGGAAAGACCTTCAATCTCCTCTTAGAATGGAAGTTCTTCAACCAAAGGCTC